AAAAAAAAAAAAAAAAAAAAAAAATGATGTAAAACTCTACATCAATCACAATCAAAAGTGTTGGGATAGTTGAATGGTTATTTATTTGGGTGATAATTATTAAAAATATTTGATGTGATTTGATTTTATTATTTTGGAAAATTTAAATTAAAGGAATCATGATTTTAATTAAATTGAAATGTTGCTATTTAATGGTTCGAAATGCAATATTGTATGTTAATTTATTCATTCAACAAAAAATATTTGGGAGTGGCAAAAAAAATTGACATATTTGCCAAATGTTAAAAGTGAATTTCTTTCAATATTAAATGTTAATTTATTATTCACCAAAAATATTTGGGAGTGTCCCAAAAAAAAAAAATGATATGCTTTCTGAATGTTAAAGTAATTTGTTTTAATATTATTAACAAACCTAATCTGAAATGTTTTAAAGTTGATTTGTTTATCAAATTTCCAAAAATTTTAAACGGCAACATAAAAATGTGGGATGTGGATAAAACTTTTCAAACATGTCAAAAGAATCAAGCTATCCAATAAGGCGACATTTGCAAAAAATTCAAAAAAGGTTACTTTTTTTAGTTATTTGTTTAGGCGGGATTTTATCTTATTTTTTAGTTACTATTTTAGAATTATTTAAGTTGCCTTTTTATATAATAATAGATTAGAATCAATATGTAAATCAGCCGCCATATGTGTAAATATGGTTAGCCAGGCCCAACATCTGAATTGGGCTTGTGGGTCCAAACAGTTGGGCCATTGTGGGCCAACCTTGAAAAAGTGATCTACTTTTGACTGTCCAATGGTTATGAATATGATAGTCAAAGTGATCTACTCTGACTACCTACGGATTTGTTGGAACCTCAATACAATGATGCATTATATATCCAAATTCACTATTAAAATAAGGAATGCACAGTATTTTTTAAAACTTTGTAGTTATTTTAGAGTTTAAAATAAATTTTTAATGAATAAACAAAAATGAAAAAACTTGATATCCAATTCACAAATATTGTTACAACTTACGAGACTGATTAGTAGTTAGAGCCTCTCTAGCGCAGCGCTAGATGAGGCGTTTTGCGCTGGAGTAGAGATGAAATCTGCTCCAATACTGCGCCAAAATTTAACGCCACAATTTTTTTATTTTGTTTATGCCCTAAACCATATATGGTCTAGACCATATATGGTTAAATTATGTTAAATAAAAATAAATAAAATATATTTTTATTATTTGAGTAATTAACATTTTATATAAGATTAAATATACATATATATCAATTTATTTGAAATAAAAAATGAATAAAAAATAATATATTTAATGTAGAGTAAAATGTAGAGATAAGGGCTGGAGATGAATGTTCAACTCAACTCTAGAGTAGAGTAAAATCCGCGTTAGAGTAGAGATAAGGGCTGGAAATGGCCTTAGACATGTCAACTTACTATCGTTTTCATTTAAATATAAAAATTATATTTATATTGTGAAATATTATAAATTTGTTTTTGTTGTTTCCTAAAGCACATATCTTAAAAATGAAGAAGTGTGTATCTTTCAAATATTATGATTTCTTTCATTAATCCACATATCTCTAGTGTTAAAACAAAAAATCTCCCCAATGCACACAAATAATGAAAAAATCTATTTGATAGTGACACCTACAAAAAAAAAAA